GGAATTGTGGGACATATTGTGTAATTTGTTGCTTATAGGATTAAACATGCGGGAACTTTTTTGGAATTGAAACGCCCACCTATAGAGCAGAGGCATATATTTTTCAAACAATACCTACTACTTATGAATGCAACAAAAGCCAATGCCGCGAAGAAGTACATGCTTGATTTGCATTTGGTGGTACAGTTTTCATGTGAGGTAAAACCGAGAAGAGTATAATTACACCAAAATTTATAGATTTGTATTTCCTAGAAATATAGGAAGAGTGTCATTACAGATAGATATAGTTAATTTTAAAGTAAGTGTAGAACTTTAAGGGTAAATAAGATTTCTGGGAATTATGATTCTTTGTTCGCGAAAATGAAAATTAGTGAAAGAAAAGGATGATCTTGGTGATCTTTAAGAAGTAAATATTCGAATGACCGCTTTTATGTTCACTTTTACCTGGAATTTTACATGATTATTACCTAAAGAAATTGACTTGATTATAGTATGAGACAAGAAAAACGCTTTTTTTCTTAGAAATACTCGGATTTATTTTGGAAGAACGCGTTTTGATCCAAAAAAAGTAACAGATCTTATCATTTTGTCTGAAAACCTGAGCCAGATATGGTTCATAAAATAACAATTTAGCTATTATAACATTCACTGTTCCAATGTTAATTAGAAAATAGAGATATAGTTTTTATTTTTTACGAACTCTTTACCATGCCTTTCATTGATCAGAAAGTAACGATGTCACTATTAAAAGTAGATGTCGCTTATTGGTTAGAAATCAATACCTGGAATTTCACGATTTTTACCTAAAGAAATACAGACTTGATTATAGTATGACCCAAGAAAAGCACTTTAAAAAAAAAAAGAAAAGAAATACTGAAACGTATTTTTGAAGAACGTATTCTGACTGTTATTACCCTAAAAAGAAACAGATAACACCATTTTGTCAGAAAATAACGATTCAGCTATTAAAACATTAATTGTTCCAATGTTAATCAGAAAATAACGATTGTTGATAATTATGATTTCTTACGAATACCTTCCTATGATCGCATCGTTACTTTCTTACAGTGGTCAGAAAATAAAGATGTAATTATTCGAATAAATATATTTGTTGTCGCCTATTGGTTAGAAATCAACCCCCCCCCCCATTAGTTAGTTTTTAGAATGATTATTGTCTTATATAGGTCAGAAAATAACTATGCAAATTTTTTGTCGTTATATTTTTCGATACCTTACATTGGTAAATATAAAGTTATGTATTTTTTGGTATTAATACTTTTTGAGACCTTTTATTGCTCAGAAAAAAACTATGTAATTTTTGATACTAATACTTTTTGAGACCTTTTATTGGTCTGAAAAAAAACGACGTAATTTTTGATATTAATACTTTTCGAGACCTTTTATTTGTCGGAAAAAAACGATGTAATTTTTTATGTTAATACTTTTTGAGACCTTTTATTAGTCAGAAAAAAACGATATTATTTTTAATATTAAATATCAGAAAAAAAATTTAATATCAGAAAAAAATTATGTAATTTTTGATATTAATGCTTTATGATAATGTATGAATAAATTTTGTTTTTGATATATTGATAATTTTTTATAATATATTGATAATTTGCTAATAATACTTTTAGGTAATAATTTTTTTATATTGGTCAAGGAATAAAACTGTGTAGTTAATGGAAATAATACTTTTTGATGTCTTATATTTTTCACAAATGCAATTTTTGGTAATAGTAATATTTTTTGAGACCTTATATTAATTGGAAAAAAACTTTGTTATTTTTACTTTTAGATGTTTTATATTGATCAGAAATGAACGATGTAGCTTTAGAGGTTGTTTTTAAGGTTTTTTATTTCAGTTCTAGGATTTTAGGAAAAAAATTTCGATTCCCCCCCCCCCTTAGAACGTGCTTTAATACCTTCAAATGATATGCTCAAAGTTTTATGAGGAGATAAAAATCTAAGTAGCTGAATTAATTTTTTTCACGTCCTCTTACTACGTCCACAAAGCTTCGAAAGCATATTTCTGAAAGCTTCATTTCAAAAGCCAACTGAATTCATTAACTCGAACAAATAAGTGTAAGCTTAACTGTAACTTTGAATATTAAAAAATCGCCAACAAAAAATCTAACAGTTTCGCAATTTATCAATCTGATAATCAATGTGGTATCCTTTTTGATTTTCACCGAAAATAATCATTTTTAAAAAGATTAAAATACGTTTTTTTTACCGGAATGTTGTAATGATTAGTTGATTTAATACTAAAAGCTCCTCAAAAAATAAAATAAATAAATTCTATGGGTGTTATAGCATGAATAAAAGAATTTTCATAACCTGCGTTTGAGAGAAGCTTCCTTTGTTGTGAAAAGGGAATGTTTGATGAAAACGAACGTCATTTTTAATAATCAAGCAATAACTCATAGGTTATACTTATAAAAAATTAACAGTGCTAATGAAAGTGGAACATAATTACTAACACGCATCCGGTAAAAGCAGCTACATCATATGCCCACACATTCACGCACAAATGGAGAAAAAAAGCCTTTATGAGTAATAAAAAAGGGGGGGGGAATTTCGTTAATAATAAAGGAGAGAAAAAACAATTAGGAGGCCCCAATGGTGGGGTAAAACTCTTCTTCTAAAGCATTTGGGCGCCGAACTTCTGTTTTTCGCCAATTAACCATTAAAATTGGAGAAGTTCATCGCGAAATTTTCAAATGAAAGAAAAAGAAAGTTTTAATTTTAATAGAAGGAAAGTTTTAATGGTTAGTTAGTTAATGAATGGGTTTTATAGTCAATAGAAAGTTTTCATTTTTATAGAAAAAGCTTACCGTTCTTATATTGAAAATAATATAGTTAAATTATGCACACAATAAAAACTTTTTTTTTTCTCTTTTTAAGGAATTTAACAGTATGCGCAGATGAAAAAATTGTCCTAAGTATCTCATGTAAATGTAGATGGCTATACCAACTGCTTTTGAGGAATTTTTTCCTTTAGAAAATGATATAAAAGTTGTATTGATAGCTGTAAATAAATTTAAATAGTGCCTAATATAGCGTGTAATAATTTTGAGAAGTTTCATGCACATTATATTCTTAATTAAATCTGATAATAGTTAAATAAATAATTCGAAGAAACTGAAGCGAAAGAAGTATACTTGATTAATCAAGTAGATAGTGTTTGGTATGATTTTTAATTAATTTATTAAATCAATACATAAATTATGATGTCATTTTACGTATAAAAATAATACCTTTGGGAGAAACCAGAAGAGTTAGTAACTAAGGGATATTGAACTTTTTCATGTAACGTTCGAAAGCAGAATTTTCAGTAAACATATTTTTCATGCTTTTTTTTTTTTTTTTTACCTTATGTATTAATTTAGGTGAAACAAGGGAAAATATATTCATCATATATGAGTATGATATATATCATGAAACACCGGTATCTTTTTCTGCGTTAAAGGTAAAATCTTCCAAACATGACTCACTTTTAAATATTTCTTTTTTCAAATTTGCATTTATTTAGATTTAAAAGAAACAGTTATTCCTCATTGAAATTTCCTCAATTTACAAAATCAGCTTCTAATAAATTGTTGAAAATGAATGAAATTTTTTTTTCAAACTACTCTTTTTAGATTTTAATACGAATGCAATGCCGATAATCTAGTAACTTCTTTATTGGTACTACAGCCCAGGGTGGGCCTTAGCCTGCTGCACAATGTTTCTCCAGATTGCTCTGTCACTGACCTAGATCTTCCAATTGGAGTTCTTTAAAGTTTTTAAATCATTCAAGACATCATCCATCCACCTTTTTATTTTTTCTGCCTCTTGGCCTATTGCACATGGGCGTCCAATGCATGATCTTTACCACTCGGTTGTCAGTTGATCTCTCAATGTGACCAAGCCATGAAAGTCTGTGTTTTTTTTTTTTTTTTTTTTNTTTTTTTTTTTTTTTTTTTTTTTTTTTTTTTTTTTTTTTTTTTTTTTTGTGATGAATTTTGCAATGTTTCTATGCTTGATGAGAGATTCATCGTTAGTTCTTATTCCCCGATAATTATCAGTTAACTGCATTGGGTCAGAAATTTTTCGTTCAAAAATTAGTAAATTATTTACATCTTTTTGTGTCAAAGTCCAAGTCTCGCAGTCATTTTAAATTCCTGCCACCTCATTCCAAATCAATCGAAATTTTAAGGTAGAGGGTGCGTTTCTTGTTTTTCAGTAGCACCATCTTTAACCTGTAGCGCCATCTTTGACTTAAGTCACACACACACACACACGTCACAGTCCATTTTACAGGGAGGACCCAATCATACCCCTTTCATTATCCACAGATCTTAATTTTGACCTAAACCAGAGACCGATCAAACTCCAATTCAGTACCCCCAGAGGTACTGATTTGTAATGCGAATTTGGAGGACTTTGTGACTCGACAGATTTAAGATGCACCAGTCACCGTTTAATGCATGGGGATTCACGGCCTGTGGAATTGAACTCGTGGGCTCGTGTTCTGACGAACGCGAGTCCAACGTCTTACCAACCAGGCTACCCCGGCCGTTTTTTAATCTTCTTAAGAGGACACTATTCCGCTGGAAAAACCATTCATGTCAAATTCTCTTTCTACTACTTCAGTGATTTAAAAGAATAGAAAAAGTGAGGCAGGATGAGAACGCACTGGGGAAGGTAATCCTGCAAAACTTTTGTGTGCATTTTGATGTTTTGAAAACATTTTTTTAGAATTTAAAATTTTATGGTTTACCCTAAATTTACCAGTACTATCTTTACTCTTAGCTCTAAATTTGAAAATACTAATGTGGGTTATTCACAATTTGGCATGCAAAGTTTCTGTCGCGTAAGAGCGTCTAGTGAAGTATTACATTTAAAAATCTCTGATTTGAAATGAGGAAAATATTTCGTAAAAAGTGTAAATGTTGAAGGATGTTTAAAAATGCGTTTATGGTATGCTTATATAATAACTCATTCTTTCGAACGCAGTTTTTCTCCAATATATGAACAAATATACCCCCAAGGAGGCACCATCCTTACTGTCCTACACTGTAAAAAATCTCGGTTAATGTTTATCCAATACTTGGTGCAAAGTTTGCTAATTGCACCATAAATAGGATAAATCAAAAATTATTTTATCTAGGTTGCACCATAAATTGGAAAATATGATCAAGAAATGCGTTTATGGCGCAATCGATTGCACCAAACTTTCGTACTATGACAGGCACGTGACCGATGACTTATTACGTAGTTGTTGACAAGATGGACGACTTTGTTGTTGAATCTTGATATCATCTCATGCAAGTTGTCTTTGAAATTGTCCATTTCTTTTGAAGGTAAGTAAACTTTTCTTAATTATTTGCATTAATTACAGTTCATTTCTTTAATATCAACTTTAAAAATTTTGTTGTCTGTTCCGAAAGTGTTAGCTTCAAATTTCTTATAGGAAACTGTTTCGTTGTATGAATAATTAAATATTTTAAAATCTATATTAGCTCTTTTTCAGTAAATAAGGAGATATAACGATTTTATGTGCACAGAAAGTGCATTTACAGTTTATTTGGCTAAAGGAGCATAGCTTTCCGCCAAATTCACTGCCGGTGAAAATTTTCTAGGTTCGTGTTTTTATTTCATTCTACCGATCAAAAAAATTCGTATGTGCTTTCTGTTAGGATTAAAACTTTTTATCAATATCTCTGCTTTTGTTTTGATTTTCATGTTCTATTTTGCTCTTTTTCGTTTGTAATGTCACATAATTACACGAATTTTGGTCTATACATTCTAAAGTGCTTCTGTTGTAAAATTTTCAATGCGAATTATTCACCTCAAATTAATACTAACCGTTGTCATGGAAACTAGATTTCTCTTTACGTTCTCTGAGCGCACGAGGTAGGAGAAAAACTTAGTGGGTAATATTGGCGCTAAAGAAAACAAAGCGATATTTTTTTTTAATTCGCCAATAATACCTTACTGAAATTTAGAACAAAACACCGACAAGAATAAGATTTGTTTTAGAACATTTAGAAATTAACTGATTTCTTATTAGAATTTTTTCTTAAAATATATTTTATTATTAATATTTTTTAACTAAGAGAAAATTTTTTTCAATGAAACAAAGTATTGTATTTAAAAAGATAATAAATATATCTTTTTTATTAAATACATATAAAAAAATACTTTGATACTCATAGATACTCTGCTTTAGATACTTATTTTTCGATGTTTTTTTAATTTTTACTTATTTATTTTATTTTTTGTAGCTTTAAATATATTAATTTAGCCCACATTTGTGTTTTGCGGGTGAGGGGAAGGATAATATAACCATGAAATTGAACGTTTTCATTGATCCTCAAAAATGTCATACGTATTCTTTATAATATTTACAGTTGTTTTTGTTTTTTTAAATAATTTTTTTTTGAAAAGTTTCATTTTAATTACAAAAGTGAAATTTTTTTATTCTGAAATATATGTGCTTCTATGAAACAAAAGACCTTTAGTTAAAAAGGCAACCCTCACAAACAGTATACATGTGGAGTTTTAATACTATCCACATGACTACTGCTTGTGTGTTAATCGTCAGCCAGATTCCACCCTCTTAGACTCAACACGAACTCTTTTATCTATACAAGTGATGATCAATTTGTTCATTTATTATTTTAACTGTTTACAGTTCCTTCAGTAAATTTTTTACTGTGCCGCTCTGCATAAAATTCAATTCACAATTTCTCAAGTGGAGAAATTCTATTTTGGTGTTTTAGCGCATTTTAACAAAAATAATAATAATAATATTTTAAAATATCAATATCTTTCATTCCTTTCCGGAATCTTTGTGGGTAAAAGGAGGCTTAAGATAAAAATCCCCCCCCCCTGTATAAATAGTTGGTCTCGAAATTTTTGTTTTTTAAGGTAGTGAAATGTTTTAAAATTTTTTTACACGAGAACTACAATTTCTCAATTTTCTTTATATTGTATTTTAAAAATAGTAATTAAAATATGACTTTCTTTGATTTATCTTTCTATGTTTTAAAAAAGTAAGGATTCAAATTTTGTTTCTTCTGTACATTTTATTAGCATAAATTACATTATTTTTAATCTTCTTTCATTAGCATAAAGATACCAACAACTTCAATGATTTTAATTGAGAAAGAGACACAGGAAAAAATATTGTTATACCCAGTGCCGAACCAATTGATTCTGCCAAAATCACCAGAATTCCAGAAGGTTATAAACAGTTTTTTCACACTTGAAAAGTGCTAGTTTCAAGAACAGCTTACAAACAAGGAATGTGTATAGTTTCAAGTTTTGAGAATGAAGAACCTGTGCTTGGAAAAACAATTATTCTTTTGTAAATAGGCTCCAAAATTTTATTTGTGTGTAATCTTTTTAAAACTTGTTGTGTTTTTTACAATCAACTAAAAAATGTGATATAGTTAAAGTAATAACACCAGAAAATCTATAATCATGAATATGTAATAAAAATATTGTTTTTTCTCAAATACTCACCATCATTTACTAATTTATAAAAAAAAATTACAGTATTTTTTTTCAAACTGTGGGAAATTTTACTCTTTTTATCAAGTAGTAAATTATGCTTGTAAAAAAGTAATTTAGCTATATTGTAGATTTTAATTCAGATGAGGCAGAATATGCCAAGAAATTTAGTATCTTATTAAAATATAGAAAATTATTTTCAGATGATCCCAAATTTCAAAACTCTAAACATTGAGGCATAACATAATTTTTATTTTAAATTACTGTAAATTTAAAATAAGTTTGAATTGAATGCACTCTCTTAGTAACAAAAACATACTATCGATCATATTTCTGAGTGAATATTTTGTATTTTTTTTTAATGAATGCTGTGATATGTATAAAAAGTATAATATATTTAAATTTTAAGATTTTGCTTAAAAATTATTACATTCTGTCTATGTATACAAATATCAAAGTGATTGTAAATGAATAAATTATGTTTAAATATTGATCTGTATATTTTTTGCTAATATTTCCAAGTTATTTCATTATTTTTACATTTCTTAATTTACTTCAAATTTAATATTTCCATACTCCAATGTAATTAATATTGGAATGTTTCCTTAATTAGAGATTGGGGGTTGACCAATACAATATTCGTCTACTTTTTTATATAAATTTTTACTTGTGAAAGTAATATTTTCATTTTTAAATAATAAAATAATTTCAAAATACATAGTAATAAGAATTTGATTCAGCCTAAAATTAAAATTCTTTTTATTTTCTCTTTAAAACATTAGCGGTATTAACTCTATAGCATCTGTTCGTGCTTTAAATGAAATGTAAAAAACTATTCAAATTTTACATATATCAATTTGAAGAAAGAAAAAGTTTTTATATGAACGAAAATATTTTTAAAGCGCCAAAAAGCAGATAAAGTTAGCATCATTAATAAATATTTATAAAAAAAAAGAGAAGATAATTTAAATCAAATTATAATTTAATTATTTAAATATATAAAAATTCAAGAAGCTATTTTTATTTTAGATGTATTATTTAATATATATATATATATTAATATTACATAACACATCTAAAATAAAAATAGTTTTATTAATTTTTATAGATTTAAATAATTTAATTATAATTTGATTTAAATTATATCCTCTTTTTTCAATAAATATTTATTAATGATGCTAACTTTATCTGCTTTTCGCCGCTTTAAAAATATTTAATAATGGTGCAACCTTCCTCGCTTTTTAGTTCCCTTCAAAACACTTATTTTTGGTGCAACCTTTCGCCGCTTTTAGGCTCTTTCAAAATTCCGATTTTTGGTGCAACCTTCTCTCGTTGTTTGGAACTAGTGAAAGCACCAATATATAGTAAAACTGAGCACGACTTTATGTAGCCAGCAAATGAATACCAATATTTGGTGCCGCATAGCTCGAAATTTTTTACAGTGTAGTAACAATTTTACCTTGACCCAACTGGGCTCAAAATTTGCACAATATAGGGCTTATAAGAACGTGTACATAAGGACCAATATTGGAATATCTAGATTTTTCAATACTGGTTCTAGAATGGCGTATAATATTGGGTAATAACAATTCTATATAGGACCGATATGGATAGAAAAGTTATTGTAAAATGTCGAGCAAATGGTCAGTTCTATATAAGGCCGATATTGATTGAAAAGTGACTGTAAAATGTTAGTTGAAATGGTAAATTCTATATAGGGTCGATATTGATTGAAAAGTGACTGTAAAAGTGTCGGTTGAAATTGTCAATTCTATATAGGGCCGATATTGATAGAAAACTGTAAATGTTAGTTAAAATGGTCAAGTCTATATAGGGCCGATATTGATTGAAAAGTGACTGTAAAATGTCGGGTGAACTGGACAATTCTATATAGGACCGATATTGATTGAAAAGTGACTGTAAAATGTCGGTTGAAATTGTCAATTCTATATAGGATTGATATTGATTGAAAAGTGATTGTAAAATGTCAATTGAAACAGTCAATTCTATATAGGGCCGATATCGATTGAAAAGTGATTGTAAAATGCCAATTGAAACGGTCAATTCTATATTAGGCCGATATCGATTGAAAAGTGATTGTAAAATGCCAATTGAAATGGTCAATTCTATATTGGGCTGATATTGATTGAAAAGTGACTGTAAAAAATGTCGGTTGAAATGGACAATTCTGTATAGGGCCGTTATTGGCTGAATAATGGATATAAAATGTTAGGTTAATGTAACAATTCTATATAGGGCCAATATCTACCCTTTTTTTCCCTTCTTGTGCCATGATAAATGAATACTGGTCTAATGAGGGTCCAAGTTATTTTGCCGCTAGGGTTGTTATTGAAATCATAAATTTTAATAAAAAGTTATAGAAAAAAAGGCATTTTTTAATAGGAATATGAAGAAAAGAACAAAAAAAAGAAACAATTAGGGGGCCCACTAAAGGGGTAACCTCACTCTGAAAGCATATGGGTGACGGTCTGCTGGTTTCTCTCCCATCAGCCATTGACATTAACGATTCGAGAAGTTTATTGGTGAATCGGCCAGGATTTAATCAGAAACCCATGGGCCGACACCTTCCATTCTATAGTTCCAATCCCTTTTATCATCTTTTCGGGGTTTTAACGAAGTTAATATGGGTCAGGAAATTAACGAACTTAAGTTTCCGGTTCCTAAGGTCTCTGACCCGCCTGCAGTGGGATAGGAGTCCATTTGGATTTAAAGCTTTTTAACACGCAGATTGAGTAGTTGATCTCGTATCCTGAGATGATTTTTTACAGCCCTAAAGGCTTTCGTTTTTTCAACTATTGTTTCTTAATAATTTATCGAGAACAATCAGATTTAATTTCCACTTGTCGCCAACCTGGCTGGTTATGGGTTAGGCGCTTATAAGCAATCTTGCCCAATGTTTTTAACACCCAGTGAGACCGAAGTTTTTAATTGAGGTGGCCTGTTTTTTTCGCTTGAATGGATGGTGACATCCATGCCTTTTTTTCCCACGTTTATTTCATTTGGATAACACTTTTAATCATTTGTCCAAAGTTTTCTTCCATTTGTGATTAAGTGTTATTAAGTTGTATCAAAAAGTCATTATCGTTAAATTTGATCTATTAAATTTTTAATGCTTTCTTTATATATTTTGACCCTATCTCAGCACTTTTAAACTTTAAAAGCTTTCTTCTTCATTTTTTAGCATTTATTATTTTGATTTTATTTTTTCCCCGTTTTATGATACTTAATATATGCGCTATGACAAGTAACTTAATTTTATTTAAATCATTTCCATAATTAAGGGGCTTGCGGCAAGAAGAAATAGTTTGGACATATTTGTGGGGCTTTCCATAAAAACAAATTAGCAACAGAGTTCAGAATAAAGTCAAACAAAAGTTAAAACACAATAAACCCTTTAAATCAACCCAGATTCGCATTTAAGTTCAGAATTCAATGGAAAAGTAGTTAAGGTTCAACAATCTCCACACTGAAATTCAGATTTGTAACTAAATCCAGATTTAAATAATAAAAAAATTCGTTTATGTTCAACAAGCAACACAATTTAGTCTAGATTTGCAACTATCTCTAGAATTTGGTAAAAAAAATATATAGTTTACCTTCAGCAAACACCGTAACTAGATTCAGATTTGTAACTAAATCCAGAATTAAGGGGAAAAAATAGTTTGCGTTTAACAGTCACCACAGTTAAGTCCTTATTTGCTAATAGTTTTGGTGAGCCAAAAGACAATATATAACCCACTCCATTTACCAGACAGTAATAAATGGCTGATGTAACATTTGTAACCGGATCTTGCACCAATTGGAAGGGCGATAATGTCCCACAGTCAGAAAATATCTAAAAATGTTTCGCGAAATTTGGACTAACCAGATTCTTTAAACAAAACCCCTCACTTATTTGCTGTTAATAGAGTTTGAAGTTCCTTACGCTATCGAGAAAAAAAAACATTGTTAAAATGTCTAAATATAAATGAATCATAACTTCAATTTAAAACTAAACGCACTATCTTGTTTAAAATAATTTACTGGACTTAAAAATTGGCAAAGATTTAAGTATTTGAAAAAATGAGTAAATTTAACAAAAAATCAACCCATAAACTTTTCAACCAATATGAACGAATTATTAAAACAAAGAATAATTCTCAATTTCAGTACTATTAATCAAACATTGAAAAATTAGATTACAAATACTTTAACAAACCTCTCTTCATATAAGCATTTTGAGCCATCTTTATAAGCAGCATAATTAGCACAAAATAGGTCATGCTTGACCTAACAGTTTTACTCTTACAAATTCGCAATTTTATATTATTAACGGTAATTTAACGTTGTAACAGTTGTTTAATTACTGTTAATCATTAAACTGTTTGCAACAGTAATTTAACGTAGCAGTTGCAAACTCACAACTTTAATCAAGGGGTCAGTTATAACAATAACATAATATTCGCTTAAAAGAACTTTAAATTTTTTAATCTTTCGACAATCATCCTTAGAACTGAATTATTTTCTTTTTGTATTTAGCTGATATTTATCTTTTATTTTAATTTCCTCATTTTTTTTATTATAGTTAATTTTATTTTTGTTGTTTAGTCAATGCATATTACGGATGGGTGACCAATGAAAGAACTTAAATACGTTGAACGCCACGTCAGTCATCGGTGACTGACAGTGGAGAATATGAGATAAAACTAATAAGGTTATACTGTTTTAAGTAAGTACTAAACATTTATTCAAAATTTACTAAATATTTATTTACCAGCTGCTGTCCGTGGCTTTGCACGCGCAACAGCTAACCCTTTGATTTCAATTATAACTTTTTGTAGCGATATTGTCAAAGTTCTCTATGCATTAAATTTTAGTAATAATTTAAAATCTGTCCAGCAGTCATTAAATCATACAAGCTACAATAAAGATGAGTTCAGGACATACCTGCATAGTTGTAGGCAACAGAAATAACTACATATTTTCATCTCTGTCATGTGATAAGACTTAAAAAAATATATAAAAAAACCATTTCAATGCTCTATGCTGTATTACTTCCTCGTGCACTTCTCATAAATTGAGTATTGTATATTTCAGAGTTAGCCATCGATTACAACTGTAATTGATTACAGATAATTGCAGCTATGTAATCAATTACTTGTAACCTTGTAATCGTGTATTTAGATCACATGTAATCATAATTACATGTAATCATGATTACATGTAATCATAATTACATGTAATCCTATATTTTGAGTACTTGTAATCATAATTACCCGTAATCGTTTTTGTTGTGATTACTTGCAATCGCAATTACTTGGAATCATGATTACAGTTGTAATCAAAATTGTGATTACAGCTGTAATCAAGATTACAAGTAATTGATTACTGTAATAAATATTGTAATCATGATTACAGCTGTAATCAAATTTTTTTGAAAGTTGTAATCACGATTCCAAGTAATTGATTACTAAAATCGACTATGTAATCA